AATTTACTTCTCTGGGCTATTCATTTGTTTCTTTTTTCCACCTTGATTTCTGGCCTTTCCAAGTTTTCTAATGAATCTAATTCTATGTGCATTTAAATTTTTGCCTGCTATAATGCAAATAATTTCTAAGCGTAACCTCGAGGTCAACTCTATCAAGTATTATTTGTTCAAACTTCTTGGGAAAGGAAAAGAAATCCCTTTCTTCTGCCCAGATTTTGTGTAATTGCATGAATTCTCTGATTTAGTTGGCTCTGTAAATCTATCCCTAGGTACACTGACTGCAGAGATGGAAGAGAATTCATTACACATTCCCTACTGAAATAGTGACCTCCACATATAGATGGGGAAATCAACCTTGATCGTTGTGCTTTGCCTTTAGTCTAATTTCTTCTGAAATTTAGACTGTAACTTGCTTTTTGGTTAGATAGCCCCAGGACATACTGGAATCTGACCAGAGGAGTGTTGAGACTTGGATTTTCACACCATGAAGCTGGTAACAGTTTTGACTTCAATGCCTTGAAAAGTAGGTGATTTCAATTGCCCTGTTTCCTTCCAGGGGAAAATGCTTTCTTTGCACCTAAATAATCTTCCGGTGCTTTTGACTGACAAGCATATTGTTATGATTATGACTGGACTTCTTGACTCCTGCAGGGATAGCATTTAAAACTGCCTGAGACTGGCACAAATCAAAATATTCATCAATTTGAACTATGTCAGCTAAAATGAAAAGCCAAAATTGTAGTGTTTTATATCATGTCAGAAGTCTGTGCACACAGTGCAAAACTGCTTAACTCTTTCCTTGCCTGGAGAAAATGCCAAGAACACTCCTCAACTGAAGGTACCTTGACATTTTAAAAAAAATTTTACCTACTATATTAATGCCTTATCCTTCTCTTTTTATAATGACCACTGATTGCTTTGACTAACTGATTTAATTAACTCTTTCCTTCATTTCCACTCATTAATTCATGTGATCATTCAAGGTGTACAGTGCTTTTAAATGCATTAAAGGCACTGTGTTTGCTTTCACAGAAAAGAGAAGCTAAGTTCTTGCACACAGTTTGCTGGTGGTCTATTTGAAGAGAGAGAGAGACATATCCATAAATTGCTATAAAATAAGCAGTATAAGTGCTGTGTGGTAGGTACATATAAGCTGTGCAGGTGCTTTAGTAAAGATGAAATAATTTCCACCCAGGGAATGGTAAACTAGACACATACGAGGTTGCCTGCCCAATGTCCACTTTCTGGAGAGCTTTTCCTTTCCTCCATCGGTAGTGGACACATTGGAGACATTTTGTAAATGGGATCCTGTCCTTCCTTGCAAGTGGTCTCTCAGCTGTAGCTGACTGATCGCTGACCCCACTTAGCTATTCAGAAGCTCTTCCCTTAGAATTAGTATCCCATAGCAAAGGATTTCAGTTTCAGCATGGTAGGAGGAGGACACTTAGGCTCTACAGAGAGGATGTGAACGTCATAAAGAGACTGCACAAAGTCAACATGTGGGGAAGAGCAGAGAAGGCCTAGCTCAAATGGCAGTCATATCCATGGTGCTTTCATGAAGCATGAGCTCTCTAACTCTCGTCCTTTCACTGTTTCTCTTAGCACCTGAATTTCATTTTCCCTGGAAAGAGGGGCAGGCAGGAATGAGTTGATTTCTTTTGCTAACCACCCACATAAACCTATCAAATGCAGAAAGCTTTGTAAGCAAGGAGGATGGGTTCATCTTGCTTAAACAGAAAATCGAGGGACTAGAAATCCTAAATTAGCAGGCTAATATTTTGATGTATTAACCAGTGTGTTTTCCCCCTGATTTCCTGTTACCCTTCACCCCCCACCCCTCTTCTGGGCAGCTAGACCATGAGTCATTCCTTGCCTCAAGGGAGGGTTGTCACAGCAGAACCAGAGAACAAAAGAGACAAATTCTTGGCTTTTGAATTTTAAAAGCTGAGCTTCAGGCTTCAGACAAAAAAGATTTGGAAGAATATTTGATCCATTTGAGCCAATTTTTTTCCTGCCCACATAAGATAAAAATTCCCCTGGCTGGGATACAAGAAGTGATTCTAAGGCAAAGCCAGAATGTCAGAAGATGCTGAGTCCTTGAGAAAAGGCTTTGTGCTCTTCAGCCCCTTCCCCTGACTAAGCTCTGGCAGAAATGTGGACTTTCAGGTTCTGAGAACAGGAAGACTTGAGCCTTATTTCCTAGTTGGAATCCAGAAGGTGGTAAGACTCAGAAAGATCCAGCATTGTACCGTAGAAGCTGCCTGGCACATCCATAACAGAAGTGTCTGTGCTTATCTCTGAGAATTTTCCATGGTCAGGAAATTGAGCCTGATATTCTCTATGAATGGAGAGAGGTTTAGAAGCTGCCAAGAGAACAAGAAATGGAGGAATCCAACCTGGCCTAGGAGAAAGTGAAGATGTAATCCACATGGACAAGTACCGGGAACCAGTACACAGCTTAGTCTCTAAGACAGGATGCTATCCTGGACAAATAACAGTCATGATCCAGATCCTATTGCTAGGAGATAAGATATGAAAATATTACATCTCCCAACCTGAATTTCTTGAGTTCTGGTTGCTACCATGGCCCATCCAAACAGGCAAGGGCTGCCAAATCTCTGCCCATTTTTGAGTGTGTCCCAGATGATCTGGCCTTAGATGTGTTGAGCCTCCTTCTCCCAGACCAAACTCCCCCTATGGGCAGCCAATGCCAGCCTCAGGTTCCAGGACTCTCGGCACCTCCAGAGTTAGGCCTCTCTGGCTCCAGGATGGCCCTCATGCCAGCTGCAGCCTTGGAGGCACCCCATCCCTATTCTGATGCCACCACATATATCTAGTCTGGCTTCTGGGTCAGCCCCAAATTTCTGGCACCTGCTGTGTCTCCCACATCTGTGAAGCCTTCTTGGGCTGATATTCCTCAGACCAGATTGATACTGAAGCAGACCACTCAGTTGTGACATTCCCCACTGGACCTTTCAGCTGTAGTATTGTTGACATTAAAGGGGCCAAAAGACAAACTAAGACACAAGCTTTTTGTCAGCCACAGATTTGCAAAATAGAGGACATGAGGTGGTTCGTCAGGTTTGTACATGCCTGACTGTACAGTTCCCCTCTTAGGGAGGGATCTATTGGCCAAGTTAAGGACCAAAATTGATTTTAGGGATAGAAAAACATACTTTGAATTGCCACCTTCACAGTTGACCCTGGCCCCAACTGTCCCTTAGGAAGAGAAATGGAGACTCCATGACCAACCGATCCTGAGGGCTACTCAAAAAACAAAAACCAAAACCTCAAATTTGGTTCAAAAGTGGCTTCAGGTATGGACAAAAAATAATCCATGGGGACTGATGATTGACCAATCCCTAGTCAGAGTAGATCTTAAACTTAGAGCTATGCCCCTCATTCAACAACAGTATCCAATTCCCCTAAGAGGCATAACAGGGGGTTCAGTTACACTTTGAAAGACGTTTAAGTTATGGAACCCTCATTCCCTGCCAGTCACCCTAGAACATGTCCTTCCTCTCGGTCAAGAAAAAAATTCCAGAGACTACTGTCCTGTTAAAGGCTTGTGGGAAATTAAAGAGGCCATGGTGACTTTACATTCTACCATCCCAAATCCCTACTCTCCTGGCACTGTTGCTGGCACCTGTGGGATGTCTTCTTCTACATCTGGCTAGCCCCAAAGAGCCAACCCTTTTTTGCCTTCCAATGGGGATCAACTGGCACCAGGCAACAAGGCCAGCTCACTTAGACTAGGTTGCCACAGGGCTTCAAAAACTCCCCAACCATCTTCAGGAAGGCTTTAGCTCAAGACCTTCAATTGTTCCCAATGCAGGACTTGGAGTGCCCCTTACTGCATTTGATCAATGACCTCCAACTAGGACACAAGACCCATGAAAGCTATACGAGAAGCACTGAAGAGCAGCTTGGACACCTGTATCACAATGGCTATAAGATGTCCCAGAAGAAAGCACAACTGTACTGTGCAGTAGTAAACTACTTGAGATTCTACTTCCATCTCCAGACTGATAGGCCCCTACGTAATTGTAAAGGGGTCATAGAGTAGGTTTATTCCAGTGAGCCAGATCTGTGTGACCAACCTTTTCAGCAGCTAGACCTATAGTTCTTTATAGATGAGAGCAGCCACATAGATCAGTCCAAAAGATGAAGGCCTGGCTATGTGGTTGTAACCCTTAAAAAGGCTGAAGGGTCCCAACTACTGCCTCAAGGGACTTCAGCACACAGGGCCGATATGATTACCCTAACTCATACATTAGAGTCAGAAGAAAAAAAAAAGTTACATGTCTATGTAGACTCTAGGTACGTCTTCCTAGCTTTGCATGTGCATGGGGCTCTCTAAAGAAGAAGAGGGGGCAAAGAGATCAAGTAACCCTAGGATATACCTCAGCTCCTAGAGGTAGTCAGGGTCCCTAAAAGATTTGCATTCATGCACTCCAAGGGACATCAAAAAAAGAAGATCTAAGGATAGCTAGGCAAGGACGGGGTGACCAATAACTTTGACCCCAAGCATTCCACTCCACATTTCTTAGGATTATAACCCTATCCCCAAACCCTGTAAAAACTTTGCTTCTTCTCTGGCCAGCTGCTGAAATACTCCAGAATATCAGCCATGTCTGCACCCAGACAGAAATAAATCCAGCCTTTTTGCTCATACAAAGCCTGTGTTCAGGTAGTCTCTTGTATGCTGTTTATAATATCTGGGCTGAAACCCTCCTTGGGGGGTTTAACACTCTTATTTCAAATACCCTACTGAGGCCACCCAGGAACCTTGCTCCAGCACTCCAGGCAGCTCCCCAGATCCTTCCATTACAGTAGCTTCAGACTAGGTAAGGCCTTCTCCCTGCCTCCTAGACAATTCAGCTCCACTTTTCTACTCTATGCTTTTAAACCTCTCTCTCTTCTCTCTGGACTGTGCCTTTAAAGCCCCCTCCCTTGCCAGCACTGCCACTGCTGCCACAGTCACTATAGCTGCGTTTTACCTTCTTTCTCTCTCTTCGTTTAGGTCATAGAGAAGTCAGTCCTGCTTTTCCATTCTGTGTAAATCCAGCACTGGTCATGGAACATTCCCCAGGGAAAGAACTGTCTTTCCATTGGTGATTGATCAATTGTGACAACCATCTTGCTTCCTCATCCGTGTTCCATTACAGCCTGAGTCACAGCTGGAGACTTCCATTGTTAACCTGTTGCTCTTCTTTGTCATGCCAGACCTGACAATCATTTCTCTTTGTTCCCATGGGAAACCTTCCTTCTTCTATTCCCCCTTCTTTTCCTCTAGCCTGTTTCTTAAAAATTCTGAAATCTCCCCATTTCTACCCTGATGTGAAGCTCAGATATCTGATATTCTTCTGTAACACTGTATTATCATAATATAAGCTAGAAAATGATTCTTAGTGGCCAGAGAATGGCACTTTTGACTTCTTCATCCTGTGGGACTTAGACAACTACTGCCAGAGGCTGAGCAAATGGCCCAAAGTACCCTAGGTCGAGGCATTCTTTACACTTCATAACATTTCCTCTTTGTGCACATCATGTGAATCCTGTCAAATACTTCTTCTTTCCTTCCATCTGCACTCCTTTTATGTGACACTGATTCCTCCTTGACAATATATTCTGGACTGGACTCTCTGAAATGGGAATGAAAGGATGCAGGAAAAAAGAAAATCAGAAAAACTTTCTCAAATAACAACAGAGATGGAGACCATGATGAAAGAAATGATTAATAACTGTAGAGCAGACATAGATTTAATAAAAAGAAGAAGAGCTCAGGAATATGATGGAATCCATGAATTCCCAGCATAAGAAAAAAATGGAATCAATGAAACAGATTCAAATAGATATGCAGAAGATTAAAAGTTCCATTAAAAGTATACGCAGCAGAATGAGCCAGTGTGAGGACAGAATATCAGATATAGAAGAGAAGATTGCAGTTAATTACCATGAAAAGAGAGCTTTCTTAAAAAATAGCAAGGTACCATGAGAAATCAATCCAGCAGCACCTAGATGATGCAAAGTAGAATAACATAAGACTGATTAGAGTCAATGAAAAAGCAGGAGATAGTGCAAATGACGTAAAAATGTTCACAGAAGTAATGGCAGAAACTTCTCAATCATGGAAAAGAGTTTGACATACAGATACATAAGGCACACAGGACTTCAACTAGCTGTGATTTAAAAAAATCTATCTCTAGGAATATGATAGCCAAGATTCCAAAAACACAACAGAAGAACAAAATATTAAAAGCAGTTAGAGAAAAGAAACAAATCACATACAAAGAAAAGCCCATGAGAATCACAGCAGACTTCTCAACACAAACCCTCAAGTCAAGAAGAGCCTGGCGTGTATTTCTGGCCCTAAAACAAAACAACTTCTAAACCAGATTCTCTCTCTCTCTCTCTCTCTCTCTCTCTCTCTCTCTTTTGGTAATGGGGATCAAACTCGGGTCCTTATACTTGCAAGGCAGGCAGTGGAACCACTGAGCTAAATAAATCACCAGCCCCAAACCAGATTGAAGTAATTTGTAAAACTGTCATTTAAAATTGATGGAGAAATAAGATACTTTCATGACAAAGAATACTTGAGGAACTTCATGAATATCAAATCAGCACTCAAAAAAAATTCTAAACAATATCCTAGAAAAAGACAATGAGGGTCACAACTCCATGAAGCTCAACAGAAAGAAGCAATCAAGCAAGGCAAGAAATTAAATGGAAAGGGGGAACAATAAAAAATAAAAGAGCCAACAATAGGAAAATATCATGATAAAGATAAGTCAATACATTTCAGTTATAACCATCAATATCAATGGCCTCAATTAACCAATCAAAAGAAAGAGACTGGCAGAATGGATCAAGAAGCAAGATTCAAAAATATGTTGTATATAAAGAACACACACTTAATTCAAAAAGAAATTCACGGGGGACAGGGATTTAGCTCAGTGGTTCTGCTGCCTGCCTCAAAAAGAAATTCATAGACTAAAAGTCAAAGGATGGAAAGCAATACTCCATGTGATAGGAACCCAGAGAAAAGCAGTCGTAGCTATTTGAAGATGAAGTGGATTTCAGAACAGAACTAATTAAGAGAGACAAAAAAAAGGCCACTACCTCCTTATAAAGGGCACAATCCAAGAGGGAGAAATGACAGTCATAAATATATATACATGCAAAAATGCTAGTCCACCCAACTAAATAAAACAAATATGTGTGGACATGAAAAATCAAATAAGCACTACTACAATTGTAATGGGGGACCTCAACACCCCACTATCACATACAGACAGATCAACTAGACAAAGAAAATCAACAAAATATTAGAACTGAAACAAATTTTTGAACTAATAGACTTAATAGATGTCTACACAGTGTTCCACTCCATAAAATCAGAATACATATTCTCAGCTGCACACATGTTATTCTAAATAGATCATATGCTAGCTCATACAACATGCTTAATTAAATGCAAATAAATCGAAGTTATCTCCTGTATATTGTCATGCCATAGTGCATTGAAATTGGAGATGACTAGCAAAAGAAACCACAAGACTTCACAATCACACGGAAATTGAATAACATCTTTCTGAACAACCAATGTGTCACAGAGGAAATTAAAGAAGAAATTAGATAGTTTCTATAATTAAATGATAATGCCAATACAACATACCAGAATTTATAGGACACAATGAAAGCAGTTCTACAAGTGAAATTCATAGCAGCGAATGTCCATATTAGGAAAATAAAGTGAGCTCAAATAAACAACCTCAAGATCCTAGAAAAAGAAGAGTAAGACAAACCCAAAGCTTGTACAAAGGAGGAATTATGAACATATGAGGAGAAATCAGTGCAATGGAGACTAAGAGAACAATACAAAAAAATCAACAAACCAAAGAGTTGGTTCTTCAAAAGAAAAAATAAATTTGACAAATTCTTAGCTAACCCTAGCCTTAAAAAGGGCTCAAATCCATGCAATTAGGAATGAAAAGGGCAAAATTACAGCAGATCCAGAGGATCATCAGTATCTACTTTGAGAACCTGTGGTCCAATAAGATGGAAAACACAGAAGAAATGGACAGATTCCTAGATACATATGAATTACCAAAGTTGAACCAAGAAGATATTAAAATTCTAAACAACCCAATATAAATCAATGAAATCTAAAACATAATTAAAAACTTACCAATGAAGAAAAGCTCAGGTCCTGACATTCACTGTTGAATTCTACAAGAAATTGAGGGAAGCACTAATGTCACACCTTCCCGAATTCTTTAATGAGATTGAAAGAGAAGCAATACTTCCAAATTCATTCCTGGAAGTAAGCATCATCTTAATTCTGAAAGCAAAGAAAGATCAACCAAAAAGAGAACTATAAGCCAATCTCTCTAATGAACACAGTTGGAAAAATCCTTAATAAGATACTGGCAAACAGAATGCAGAAGAAAAGCAAGAAGGTCAAACACCTTGACCAAGTGGGATTTATCCCAGGGATGCACGGATGGTTCAACATACTCAAATCAATAAATTAATATATTATATTAACATATTAACAGTCAAGAACAAAAACCATATGGTCATCTCAACAGATGCAGGAAAAGCATTTGCCAGAATCAACCACTCACGATTTTAAAAAGATAGAAAATTTGAATAGATGGTCTTTATCTCAACCTGATAAAAGCTATCTTTGAAAAACCCATAGTCAATATTATACTAAATGGTCAAAAATTGAAATCTTTTACACTAAAATTAGAAACAAGACAAGAATGTCCACTATCACCACTCCTGTTTAATATAGTTCTGGAAACACAGGATTTAGCTCGGTGGTGCCACACCTGCCTCGTAAGTGCAAGGTTTTAAGTTTGATCCCTGGTACTGGAAAAAAATATGTAGTACTGGAAACATTGACCACAGCAATTAGATGAGAGGAATACATGCAAAAGACTCTGGGAAATAATTCCTTTTACAATAGCATCCCAAAAATAAAATATCTAGAAATTAATCTAAGGAAGGAAGTAAAAGATCTCCACTTTGAAAACTACAGAACCCTGAAAAAGATTTCAAAGAAGATGTCTGAAAAAGGAAAGACATTCCTTGTTCTTGGGTAGGACGAACCAATATAGTGAAAATAGCCATATTTCCAAAACGGATACAATGCAATCCCAATTGAAATTCCAGCAACACACCTCATAGACCTTGAGAAAATAATAAAAAAAATCGTTTGGAACCAGACGAGAATAGCAAAAGCAATTCTAGGTAACAAAGACAAGGCAGGGGATATAACAACCCCCAACTTGAAAGTATACTACACAGCTATTGTGATAAAAACAGCATGGTACTGGCAAACAAACAGACCCGAAGATCAATGGAATAGATTAGAAGGTCTAGAAATAATAACTCCAGACATACTCAGCCACCTCATCTTTGACAAAGTAGACAAACACCCTCACTGGAGGAAAGGTAGCCTCTTTAATAAATGGTGCTGTAAAAACTTGCCTTCAATTTGCCAAAGATTAAAACTAGATCCCTTTCACTGTGCACTAAATTAAAATAAAAATGGATCAAAGATCTAAATATAAAAACAGAAACACTATACTTTCTGGAAGGGTGGTTAGGTAGAACTCTTGAAGACACTGGCCTAAGAAAAGACTTAATGAACAAAACCTCAGCAGCACAGGAACTAGCACAAAAAAAATCAACAACTAGGATCTTGTCTTATTAAAAAGCTTCTGCACAGGAAGAGAAACCACCAACAGTGTGAAGAGACAACCCACAATGTGGGAAAAAGTTTTTATCAGCTGTTCCTCAGGAAAAAGTCTACTATGGTGAATATATAAAGAACTTAAAAAAATCAGACCTCTCAAATTTAAAGACTCAACCCACAAATGAGCATCTGAAATGAATGGACATTTCTCAGACAAAGAAGCACAAATAACAAATAAACATGAAAAAATGTTCAACATCACTGGTCATTCAAGAGATGCAAATGAGAACAACAGGGAAATCCCACCTCACCCCACAAAGAATGGCTGCTATCAAGATGTCAACCAATAACAAATGCTGGTGGAGCTGTGGGGAGAAAGGAACGCTGCTCCTCTGTTGGTGGGAGTGTAGACTGGAGGAAGCCTTCTCTGTTGGTGGGAGTG